TTATTCTAATATATGAATTAACTATTTTTATTTTATTAAAAAATAATCATTAAATAAAAAATATTGATTATATTATAATATGAATTATCATTACAATTTTCAAACGTTATTATAAAGTCAAATTAAGTTATTGATTTGAAATTTTAAATTAAATCATAATTAATCAGATCAGACTAGATCAGATCCAATCAGATCAGATCAGATCCAATCAGATCAGATCAGATCAGATCAGACCAGATCAGATCAGAAATTATTAGAATCAGATCAGATCAGAAAAAATAAGTTGAACGGAACGGAGCCTAAGTCTTTATGAACTAGTGTTTTTACTTTTAGTTAATGCTTTGTTGAAGAGTGTTAAGTGTTGGACATTTTATATTACCCTTTTCAGTCATTGTTAGTTTTTTAAGGACATAATTTGCAACTTTTTCTTGTTTAATAAGTTATTCTTAAATGGTTCGTACCAAGAAAAATAAAAATACAAAAAAACTAGGTGATTTCAAAAATGAAAAAATATACAAAGTATGTAATACTCCCTCCGTCCTTGAGTATTTGTCCACTTTTGATTTTTTTGGTCAAAACTTGTAAACTTTGACCTCAAATTAAATAAAAATTGTATTAGATATAGATACGAAAAACTTTGACCTCAAATTAAATAAAAATTGTATTAGATATAGATACGAAAATAGTTTTGTTAGATTAATCATATGAAATATTTTCAAAATATTATTCTATTTAATTAAAACACAATATATATTTTATTGAATTATAGGTCAAAGGTTAAAAATGGTGGACTGAAAAAAGTCAAAACTGGATAAATACTCAGAGACGGAGGTAGTATATTTTAAAAATGTAAAAAAAGGATGAGCCTCATTCCTGAGGGTTCCCTAAGATCCGTCCGGATGGTCAATGATAAAAGGTATATTAAACTTTGATCACAATTTGATGGCAAAAATTGGAGATGAAGTACTGATTGTAAACGTGTTAAGAATTTGGAGATGAAGCAAAAGAAGTGACGGTTAATATGATAGGAAATGTAATAATTGCATCTTAAAAAATAGGAGAATTTAATGGTTGGTATTATCTCTAAATATGTAAAGAATATAAAAATTAAGAATGGAAGGACAATATGCATGTGTACCAGCGCGTGGATGCGATCATGCGAGATAACATTAGAAGGGCAAATATGGATACATGAACAAATTTTAGTCTTAGAAAAAGGAAAAAAAGTAAAGAGTCTTATTTAGGGAAAAGTAGTGGCTTTTAGTCCTAGTTGCAACAAATTTTACTTTTATTTTCTATGAGGTTTTTATATTCTAAGGCTCTGCACTCTTCAGTGTGCCCTACGGGTGCCATGTGGGGGTGAGAAAGAAAGGGGAACACTATCCCAACGCCCTCTCCACCTCCCCCGTGGGAACGAGAAAAGCGGGAGCCCCTCCCCGTTTTCCCGTTAATCCCATTCTTGTGTGAAACCTTATTTCAAGCTTTGTCTTGTCTAAAGTAAATTTTTTTAATTTCAATTTATGATATTTGATTAAAATTATTTTAAATTTAATTTATTAGAAAATATATGTGAAATTTAAAAATAAAATTTATATTGATATTTAAAAGTTTATGTCAAACTTGAAATTTAAAATTAAAAAATAAAATTTATATCTTTAAAATTTATATCTTTATATCAAACTTGAGCAGAGCACTAGAAATACTCATGAAGCTCTGGGCTTCAAACCTTCTCTCTGTCACATCACTCGCGTTCAATATCGGCGAGTATGCGTAAAAACAAAGAATGGCTCATCCGAAAACGATTACTAAAATCTTCCGGTGTGTAAACACATAGAGTATTGAAGTAATCAATGGGTAGGGATTCGTGTGCAGCCGCCCGATCACGGTTTAAAAGCTCACGTCGGGTCGAGCGTTGTGATGATTCTGCTTCCTCTTGTTGGCCTTGTTGCCATCATTGGTAACAGCCCGACGTGAAATAGTGAAAAATGAGAGCTCTTCTACAAGAAAACGCGAAAAGGATAACGAGCGACAGAATTATTTTCGTCGTTAATAGCGACAGAAACAGTGACGGATTGGAGATGCCTACCAGACTTAACGACGGAACCTAAAATCCGTAGTTAGTAGACGCGGGAAGAGGTGCGCGCCACGTTTAACGACCGAAATAGCGACGAAATTGAACCGTCGTTAGTTTGGCGACGGAAATAAAACTGTCGTTAAACCGATTACCTACGGAAATAAGCCTTTGGCGACGGAATTTTTCCGTCGCGATTTTAGCAATTTTGTAGTCCTATTTTTAGTGTTTTGTTGATAGAATTAAAAGAAATATAATATATTTTGGAAGAATTATAGAGAGAATGAGAATATGTTGTATTTTTTATATTTAAAATGAGGAGTATTTATAGTATTAAAAATAAAAAAATTAATTATGGCCGACGGCCATAATTTAGACCGTTGGGGAGGGGGGATCTGTTGCATGCTGATGTGCTGCTACGTCCAACGTTTAAAGCAACGGGCTTGACGCCCGGATGTCGGCAAAGGGGGTGGTGTTTGACGCCCCCATGGGGTTAAACGCTCCTTAATGCAAGTAGGCGTCAGATGTAGTTCTGGTGCTCTTTTGTGAATAATGAATGAAAAGTTTAATTTGAGAAAAATACGTAGCACAATACTTTATTGGGAGAAGTACCGTCATAGCACTAATATATGTTTAAAATACCCAATGTAGTACTGGTATGGGATATTGAAACTCGGGTATATGCAATTCCAAATTTATCCTTGCATTCATTCCACACTTCCAAAAATTTGTTTAAGTTGGTATACACTTCTAGAACATGGGCATAACACACTACCGTCATACCCAAAGTAGCATGTATCCACAATGGCAAAGATAGATCATTCCACACTGCCAAAAAATATATTTAAGTTGGTATTCACTTCCTAAACATGAGCATAACACACTGCCAAAAAGTGTAGTTAAGTATTGTGAACCATAACACACTACCCAAAACATGGGCATAACACACAGCCAGAAAGTGTAGGCATAACATGACCATTCCACAATGGCAAAAAAGTTGGTATACACTTCCAATTTCGTTTATTAAATGTGTTTAAGCAATGAGAAGTGGCACGATGTTCTAAGTGCTACGTACAAGGAATGAGAATAACCTCCTACGTACAATGACAATAAATATGATAAATAAAATAGTTAAAATACTGAATTATAATAAAAAGGTATGATTGGAAGAGATCCACGCTATAAATAGCCAAATGTGTGAAAAACAATAAGGAGTGTTGTATGTGTAATATTGGATGTCTTAGAGTGCTGCATAGGATGATTTCTATTATATTTAAAGTTATTTCTGATCTCATCTGATCTGATTCCAATAAGAATAAGTATTAAGTAAAAAGAATAAGTTGAGGAGAACATGGCCTTATTACTTATTTTTATTGGAATCAGATTAGATCAAACCAGATCAAATCAGGAAAAAATTTAAATATAACTACATTCAGATCAAATCATACCATATCAGATCAGAACTTACTCTAATCAGATCAGTGAAGAGAATATGACCTTAGTCCATGTTCTCCAAAAACTTAATTTTTACTTATTATTATTCTTATTGGAATTAGAATTTATCAGAATAACTTTAAATATAACTACATTCAGATCAAATTTGATCAGATTAGCTCATATTATAAGTTGTTATTCCAATCAAATCAGAACCAATCAGATGAGGTGAAGGAAACATGATCTTAATCACTTATCTTCTTGGATTCATCACTAACTAAAATCATCGATATATGGCTTTATGACTGGCAAAGTTTACAATTGGGCCCCGTTTGGTATACGGAATTCAAACTATGGAATTGGGGGCAATAATCCTAATTCTATTGTTTGGTGTTGCACAAAAATTTGTAGATTTGGAATTGGTAGTGCAAAAAATGAATTGAAATTGAAGAATTCAATTCCATCCAATTCAATTCTATAGAATTTCAACTTCCAATTCAACTCCAATTTTGTCAATTTTGTATACCAAACGGACCCTTAATATAACTTGTTGGCTTAAACCTTGGGGTCCAAATCAATATTCGAAAAAGTGAATCTCAATTTATACCATTCATTTATACTCCTTCCGTCCTGAAATGATTTACACATTTTACTACTTCCTCCGTCCCATGAAACATTTCCCGTTTCAAAAAATGGTGCGCCTTTAAAATGAGTAATTTTGGTGCTATTTTCTAATTATGATTAATCTATTCTACACATCTCATCCTACTCTTTTATAAAGTAAAGGCAAAATTAGAAAATAATACCAAAATTACTCATTTTAAAGGCGCGCCATTTTTGAAACAGGAAATGTTTCATGGGACGGTGGGAGTATTAAAAATCACAAAAAATTTTGTTTATTTGTGTGTTTTCATTGACTATTTAATGAAATAAAATATTCTTGTCATCTCTTATTTTGTAGAACTTTTAATGTATTTTATAAATATGCAAGTTTTATTTTTGATTTATATACCAATCTTTTAATAAAATAAATTGAAAAACTTGAAATTTTACTCCGATCCGTTTTGCATAAAGAGTAAATGATTTTGGGACGGAGGTAGTATTTATTTATACTCATATGTTTTGTAATTTTTGTTCAAGATCAAATTTTTTCCGTGTAACACACGCGTATGAATATACGGAGTAGTTAATATTACACACATCTTTTTCATTTTTTTTCCTTTTCTTGTTCTTAATTAAATGTTTTTTTCGAAGATTTTTTATTTTGCCCCTCCATCTCCAATTAATTGGTTTCTTTATTATTTCAGACTTTTGATAACTTTGTGCGTGTACTTATTGGTGGGGATGGGGTTGCACCAGGGGTCTGCCCTTAGCCCTAGCCTTTTTTGTTTGCCTTGGTGATGGACGTCCTAACTCAAGGTGTTCAAGAAGGGGTCCCATGGTGCATGCTTTTCGCGGATGACATTGTGCTTATCGACGACAAACGATAAGTTGGAACTATGGCGCCTTGCCCTTGAAACTAAAGGTTTCAGAATAAGTAGGAGCAAGACTGAGTACATGGAATGTCGTTTCAGCGGCCGGGATAAAGAATCAGAGGTGGAAGTCAGGATTGACTCTCATCTAGTACCTAAGGTAGACAGGTTTTGGTATCTTGGCTCGGTAATCCAGGCTAATGGGGAGTTAGATGGGGATGTTGGACACCGTGTTGGAGTGGCTTGGGCCAAATGGCGGATAGCTTCAGGGGTTTTGTGTGATCTGAAGATTTCGCCCAGAATGAAAGGTAAGTTCTATCGATCAGTAGTCAGACCTGCTATGTTATATGGGGCGGAGTGTTGGGCGGTTAAGAAGACTCATGTGCGTCGTTTGCATGCAGCGGAGATGCGGATGTTACGATGGATGTGTGGTAAGACAAGGTTGGATAAGATTACAAACGAAGTCATTCGACGTCAGGTAGGCATGGCACCGGTGGAAGATAAGTTGCGAGAAGCGAGGTTGAGATGGTTTGGCCATGTGAGACGGCAGGATGCTGACGCCCCTGTACGGAGATGCGAGAGGATTACGGTTATTGGGGGAAGTAGGGGAAGGGGTAGACCCAAGAAGAATTGGAAGGAGGTGATTAGGCAGGATTTAGGACTTCTCAACCTGACTGAGGATATGGCCTTAGATNGGAACCTTTGGAAAACTAGGATTAGAGTAGTTGGATAGGAGCTCGGTGTTGTAGAGGTTGTTTTGTAGTGTGTTGTATTTGTTTAGAATCTTTTGCTATTGCTTGTACTTGTTGCTTGTACTTGGCGCTTTATATGGGCTATATTGTGTTCCCTTCCATATTTTTGTGCAGGTGGAGCCGGGGGTCTCTTGGAAACAGCCTCCCTACTTCCGAGTAGGGGCAAGGTCTGCGTACACACACCCTCCCCAGACCCTACTATTGTGGGATCCAACTGGGTTGTTGTTGTTGTTGTTGTGCGTGTACTTATTTTCATTGATCATTTGATAAAATATTCATCTCACTACTTGTTTTATATAACTTTAAAATATATATGTAAATTATACTTTTTATTTTGATACTAAACTTTAAATAATATTATTTTAAGTGTTACTTAGTTATTCGAAAATAAACAATTATTTTGAAAATAAACAATTATTTCCATCTTGATGGCGGATGTGTCTATGTGACAATGTGAGTGACCGATATTAAGGGGTGAAGCATTAATGGCCGTGGGGTTTGACCCATTGTCAACTACTCAATAATACCCTACCCATTAAAGTGATGATGATGCACAGTGACGGATCCAAAAATTTAACTGGATGGAGGCATCATTATTCGGGGGTAGCGCGTCATATTTTTTTGGTAGATTATTTTAAATGACAAAAACTAATGAATTTTATTTTCAAACATTTATTGAATGTAAAATATTTTTAATAGGTTATGTGAAATTTTATTTTATAAAAAATTAATTATAATGCAATAAAACATACTTTACTAAAAAAATTAACAAAAAATTTAAATTTAGCCTAATTAGATGGGGTCGCATTAATATTTTTGGGGCATATATACATAAAGGTTTTAATTTTTTCTTATCTTACCTTATTACAAAAAAACTAGTTGGGGGCATTTGCCCCCTACTCCATTGAACTAGATCCGCCCCTGATGATGCACACCCAATGAAAGTTTGAAACAATTCAAAAAAAAAAGTTTGAGGTTTTACATGTGATCGTAATAAATGTATATAAATGGCGTTATCGTTTTATTCTTGGTCTCCAAAAAATTGTCTTCTTTTAAATAACGAGTAAAATTCTATTTTTTAAAAAATGAATTTATTTATATATTAGTATAAAAATTACAAATACAACTCACATATATAAAAAAAATTATATAAAATATTCTACCAAATAAGTAGCCACATAATTATTTTATCTTATTAAATAATCAAAAAAATATATATGTAAATAAAAGTTATAGACAGTCTTAACTCATAAAGATGTCAATTATTTTGAGACGAAGGGAGGATATATGTGAATATAGTATATAAATGTGAAACACCCTATGCAGCACTCTAACACACCCAATATTACAAATACAACATTCCTTATTGAGTGCTATATGCATGATATTGAGTGACTTATAGTGTCACGTAGGGTGATTTCTTAATTAAAAAGTAGAAGAATGATTAGAGAAAAGTGCGAAAATTGGAGAAAGTGATATAATATTAGAAATAGATAATGTGGAAGAGAAATAGAGGAGAGAATAAATAGTGATATTCCAAGTGATTACAGCCAAACACCAAATAGCAATCACCAAACGAGCACTAGTATTAGCGAAAAGTTCATACATTCAATCCAACTTCAAGATCTTAAGTTCAACTCTTTAATTACTCCGTACAAACTCGAAGCTTTCAACATATATGAACTGCTCTAACTACTTTACGTCCTTGTTCTTTTCATTGAGTAATGCTTTTCAATGCTAAATAAATGTATTCCTAATTGTCCCACACTATTAAATGGATTATGTTCAAAATGTATGACGCGATTCTTTTCACATATACTATAGCATATGTATTGGCCATTGGGTACTCTTAGAATATACAAATACTTCAAATTAATTTTGATTTACTAATGTTAAAAGTTATCGCGATCGAGGCAATCTTTTTAAATAAAATATTAACATTGAAGTGACTTAAAATAAAATATTTTTATTGCATCTTATATTATATATTTTTGATATTATTGTAAAATATATAATTTTAGTTTTTTTTACATATCAATTTATAGATAAAATCATTAAAAAAGAATTTTTTTCACCCTCTTCATCAAAACCTATAAATGAATTCGGAAGGGAGGGAGTGTAAAAAGCTAAAAACAACCATACAAAAGTACACCAAAAAGTGTATCTCAGGCTGTACTCCAAAGGAATGTACTGGTATTTTAACAGTTCACACTGGTACAAACTGGAACAAAATATAAGTTCAATAAAAAAATTTATACTGACATATTGTGTCAGTGTAAACCATCACACTAGAATTAAACTAGCATAAAATATTAGTACATGCCTTCCGAATATAAAATAGAATATAATTATTGTTGTACAAATAACTTAATTCATGTGGAAATCCTTTCATGGGTGGAAATAAATGCAAGAGACTAAGATCCATTGCGGTGGGTAAGTGAACAGATCGGAGTAGATTGATTATGGTGCATTTAATGACAATGCAACTACTCTCTTCGCCTATCTTCTTTATTACGGAGTACGTAGTAAAAAAGAAAAAAAAAACTTTCCGGAAATTTTTCTCTTGAGTAGTTGAGTAATGATATTTTCAATGTATTTTATGTTGAAATTTATACTCTTATTAAGATTTTTAGTAATTAATACTTCCTCCCTTTCTAAATAAAATCTTCGTTTTTCTTTTTTTCATCCGAAAATAAATGTTTAACATCTTTTTTTGATAATTACGTGGCTTACAAGTTACAACATTTCTTTTTCCACTAAATTTCTTTTTAACAACTTTTTTAACCTCTCTAAAGTCTCTAAAGTCAAACTGAAACTTTTGTTGGCGGACGAAGACCCAAAGAAATACTGAGTAAAATTTTATATTTAAAAATTATATCAAAATATTTATAAAATAAGAAATGATGAGAATTATTTTATCAAATTAATAATAAAAGTAGATAAAAGAGGTTATCAAAATTCCATCCGTAAGTAGTACTCCTTTCCTTCAAAATTAACTATCATTAATATTTTCCTCCATAAAATATATATACGTTCATTCATTCTTTGATGTATAAAGAAATTATTAATAGACAGTTAATATAAAATGAAAGGAGTAATAAACAAGAAATTCCTTTTGCAAGGGAGAAAAATATACTCACAGAGTAATGCTTGGCGAACCCCACTTGGATACAACAAATGCACGTCAAGATAAAAATAGGTGCATAACAGACTCTGTACAAATATTGAATGTGTGTGTACCTATTTTTGTCTTGATGTACATTTCGTGTAATTGAAATAGGGTTCCCTTAACACTCTGATCTTCTTCCTTTATTTATCCATGGTCTATTGGTTGGCAAAAACTTTTTAAAATTTAAAAAAAAAAAGATGAGCCATATTCTCGAGGGCTCCTTAGACTCGACGAGACAAAACTTTTTACTTCCTCTGTCCCTAAATATTCACCACATTTGCTTTTTCAGCCGTCGCGGGAACTTTTGTTTATTTCGACGTTTTCATTGGTTATTTGATAAAATAAAATATTCTTGACACCTCTTATTTCGAAGAACTTTTCATGTAGTTTTTTTATATGTAAATTTTATTTTTTATTTCTATATCAATATGTAAATAAAATGAATTGAAAAAACTTGATATTTTGCCTTGGAAATACAAATGTGGCAAATAATTTGAGACGGAGGTAGTAAAATTTAAAAGATACTTCCTCCATTCCATATTAACTGTCTATTATGACTTTCTTGATACATTGAAAAATTAATGAATGTAGACATACTTTATGTCTACATTCATTCATTTTTCAATGTACCAAGAAAGTTATAATGGACAGTTAATATGGAATGGAGGGAAGTAGGGTTTTAGAGGTACACACACTACATTGTGGTATACCCGTGTCTGAAATGAATGAGGTGCATGCTCTCTCTCATAAATGCTCCTCAACCTCATTAAACTAACATAAGGGGGAATGAATTAATTGAACAAACAAATGAGCAAAATACTCTTAAAATTTTGAAGAAAAAAATCCAACGTAAAAAGAATAAATAAGACTTAAATAAAAAGAAACAAACACATTGATTGATTAAATTAGAACAACCCAGCTTGGAATTATTTAATGTCTTGGATTTCTTAGGGTCTCTTTAAAATTTGAAGGAATAAATCCAACGTAAAAAGGATAAATAAGACTTAAATAAAAAGAAACAAACACATTGATTATTGATTGCCTTTTAAAACACATCAACTAATAACTTTTAGGATGAAATATTAAGATGTAGTAACTTTTTAAAAAAAAAACTAGTATTTTGACCCGTGCCATGCACGGGGTCGAAAGAAATTTATGTCGATTCTAAATTTATTTTAATGAAATTTATTTTTCAGAATAAAGTAAATATATTGCTCACATGATTTTTAATACTACAAATGAAAAAAGCCAAAGTAAAATAAATAATATTTGAAGAACAGAATGTAGAGTTAACAATGTTTATTTTAATACCAAATTTTCTGAAAGATTTCAGGGTATACAACATTTTTGGTATGATTGCAAGGGTTTCTATTGTCATCTAGAACTAATATTTTTAATCCGGTCTTTGTCTTCAATCGTGAAACAACAAAATATAGTTGACCATGTGTGAACACTGACTTAGTTAAAAATAATCTCACAAATGACAATGTTTGACCTTGACTTTTGTTGATTGTTATAGCAAAACATGAGGCGATCAAGAATTATCTTCTTTGGAACTTCAAGGGTAGCCCTAGATCAGATGGTACCAAATTCATTCTAGGGATGTAAACTTTTTCTCCGACTCCATTTCCCGAAACCACAATTGCACCAATAACATTATTTCGCAGCTCTTGAACGATTAATCTTGTCCCATTACACAATCCAGATGTTTGGTCAATGTTCCTCAATAGCATAATTGGTACCCCTTTTTTCAAGACTATTTTGTGGTTTGGGATTCCCAAACATTTGATTTCGTTCAAAAACTCAACTGTTATCCAATCGCCATCAACACCTACATCTGCTTCTGCTTGGCACGAAAAATCAGAACTCAAGTACTTCTTTTCATCACCAGGAATGAGGGACAGAACAAATTCATTTATCATTTCAACTACTTCGAGAGTTGGTGCCAATAGTGCTTTATCCTCATAAAAGAATAATTTTTCATATTTTCAAACATAAGTCATTTCCCAATATAAGACTTAAACCTTTTCAAATTATTCAT